TAGTTAGACCATTTCTACGTTTAACGCACGCATTCTCATTCTCGTTTAACGACTATTTCCGTTCCAAAATTTGATATTAAATAACTAAATTTTAATAACTTAGTTTCCGCTAACTCGAGTCTCGACCCGCCAGTTCCTGCTTGCCAGTGACTAGCGGTGATTATCGTTTGGTTTGATTTAAACCAATTAGTTTCAAAATTACGATTTCTACGAATGATTAACGTACGTTTATTCTAATTAGTTCGCCGTTTTAATGCCCCGAGACTTGTCGTCTGCGTTCTAAACCCCGTCTTTGGCGGGCGAGAGAACCTAGTCTTGGGAGTAGGCTGATTTGAACAATCAAACAGTCACGAATATTAATATTAAATCTATTTTAAATCATCCCACGATAAATTCTCCATTCGATTATATTAATTAGGCCCGACGACTCTGTAGGAATTGCTTTTTACCTTTTATTCAATATTATATTATTTACCAACGTCCTTAGCCAGATAGTTTACAGTTTAATACGAGTATTTATATCACATTGGCTTAAGATTGAATACTCGTCGGCCCTACAGAGTCATTCCAAAGGTTAGGCAAAATTTAACAAAACACTTTAACGAAGGTAAGGATGATATATAGCTCCAACTGAGCGTCTGCAGGATTTCCTGAACGTTTCCTGAGCTCTGAGCCTTCGATTAAATTTAAATAAATTGATCAGTCAAAGCCGTGACAACTTCGTATCGACCCCTGGATTTTTCTCGGCTCCTTCTGAGCACTCCGGGGAAGAAATTTGAGTGTGGCCAGTTCTAGGGGTAGGCCTAGCCTGACTTAGGTGAATATTAGTTTATTCCCCCCCTAGAATTTTGCGTCACAATTTGAGCTATTGATTATTAAGATTCCGATCTTAATAATCCTACCTGAAGCAATCCTACCTGATCCTACCTTAATCACAAATCATCAATAATTATAATCGTTTTAGTACTTATCTGCAATCAATGATACATAACTCAAATTTTATTTAAGTTATTTTATAAGTCTTGGTCTTAAAATACTTTAAAGGCTTTCACTTGAGATATTGATAGTTTTAATCAGTTACGTTAAAGATATACTGTATTGCCCTAAAGCAGAACAACGAGCGACGCTGCGACATTGTCGCGGACACGAAACGCCGAGAAACGCGGGCCTGCGGACACATTTAAGAGCTTGAAATTATTTTTTTTTAATATCTCGATAAAAATAGATAAAAATACTTTGTCCGCTGACAAAATTTACCGGTTAAACAAAAAAAAAGATCGCAAAGTAAAAGAAAAGCGGGCGCGAGTGAACACGCTACTACACACATCACGTCGAAGAGGAGAGAACCGCGCTGCTCGACAGCCGGATGCCGTCTGCCGCTCCGCTCGGTATCTGTCTGCAGGCCACGCCCTCCTACCGCTCTCCCATTGGCCCGGCGCAGTCACCTGACAGACAGCAACCACCCTCCCTCCACCTTACAAGTGCGTGCGGATGACTGAGCTATGAAGACGCACTGTACCGTTTCTGGCGATAGTGTTGCGAAATAGAAAAACGCCATTACGTTGTTGATTTCGGAAGAGAAAAGGCATTCCAGCCCTATTGTGTTAACTCTGTGGTGCGTGGGTCCGTGACCTTTGTTACTGTAAAATGTATAACTAATGTTGGCATTATTTGAGTAACGGGTTTTGCGAATGAGTGAAATATACAATGTATTCTCGGCCTTCTCGTGAGCGTGTTATCTGCTCTGTTTGTTTCAAGGACAAACACAGGTTCTGGGTATGGTTCTGATTATCAGCACTGCCATGTTTCAAGAACTAACAAAACCAGACTATGTGCTATGTAATATAAATAATGTAAATATAGATTATTTCTGTTTGCTGTGTTTATATAAAGAAACTATAGTACATTTAAAGTTTTACTTCTGAAGACCTTGTTAACACTTGTTAAGGTATGTGTATATATATACGTATTTAAAAAAAAGTAAATTTAAATAACCTGATTATGCCTACCCCTTAATAGTTTTTTAGTTTTTTGTTTTAAAAGTAGGCTATACAAGTTATTGAAATTTACTTATTTTATTTAACTATATTACTAGTAGCCCTAAAGAGTGAATATATATATATATATACCGGTATATAAGTCATTATTTAGCTTTTTAGTTTTAGCGCTTGCGGACACATTTTGAGGTTTTCACAGGCCGTTGCAGACACGTAGGAACCATTCTGCTTTGGGGCTGTATTGCACAATCAGAAAACATAAATTTAATTTAATTATATCTTGGATATGTAATTTAGTTTTTGATATATTTACTCAATTCTAATTACGTTATTCTATTTGTTTTGACCTAAGAACCTTCAGTGAAATACCAGCTTCCATTTGAATTATTGATTATTAAGATCAGACGTGGCTAAAGCACACTGCTATATCACAAAGAACTTAAATTTTAAAAAAATTGAGTTTTTATCATTGATTTATAGTTAAACGGTCTTGCTTTCAACATTAACAGTAACTGTCGTCTTTGACGGGTTTCTCCTAGTAAATCTTTAAAAAATCAAACTTTAATAATTATTTGCAAATCTACACCGATTAGGCTTTTCAATGACCTATTAATTAATATAATCGGTTCAGCAGAACTGTAGATTTAATTGTACAAAGTTTAACAACAAAATCATTAGTTCAGTATTTTCTCACCATTATAAATTTGGAGGTTGCTTAACGTTTTTGCAAATAACTTTGAAATGATGAGGAAATCGACCAAAGTGGAAGATGATATTCTGATAGAGAATAAAATGTCCTACAAATTACTATCATGTATTTTTGGAAAATACTCAATTAAGGCAGCCTAAAGTTGGCTACAAATATAAACTTGGGAAAAATATTGTTTATTTATAATGTTTTACCTCAAATATGTAATAAAATAAAACTTTTTATAATTATTTGCAAATCTACACGAATTAGGCTTTTCAACGACCCATTAAGTAACAAAATCGGTCCGATAGAAGTCTAGATTTAGTTGTACAAAGTTTAACAAAAATATATCTAATTCAGTATTTTCTCACCACTATAAATTTGGAGATCACTTAGATTATTGCCAATAACTTTTAAATCGAGGGGAAATCAACCAAAGTGGATGTGATCTTCTGAAAGAAAATAAAACTTACTACAAATAACTACTATGCATTTCTTGAAAATTCTTAATAAAGACAGCCAAAAGCTGGCTACAAATAGAAACTTGAAAACAGAAGCTTGAAAAAAGCAGTTTTTAATGCATTTTTGTTATTTTTACTTTTTTACCACAAAGATTTAGTAAACTCACACTTTCATAATTATTTGCAAATTTACATGAGTTGGGCTTTCCAATGACCCATTAATTAACAAAATTGGTCCAGTAGAAGTCTAGATTTAGTTGTACAAAGTTTAACAAAAATATCCCTAACTCAGTATTTTCTCATTACTATAAATTTGGAGGTTGCTTAGCTATTTTACAAATAACTTTTAAATGGTGAGGAAATCGACCAAAGTGGAAGGTGATATTCTGAAAGAGAATAAAATGTCCTACAAATTGGTACCTACCATACACTTCTTGGAAATACTCAAAAAGGCAGCCAAAAGTCTCACCCAAATAAAAAGTCTGAAAAACACTGTTTTCAATGTATTTCTTATGGAAAACATGTTTTTTTAATTTTTCACCAAAAATCATAACAAAAACAAACTTTCATAATTATTTGCAAATCTACACGAATTAAGCTTTCCAACGACACATTAATTAATAAAATCGGTCCAGTAGAACTCCAGATTTAGTTGTACAAGATTTTTAAAACTGAATTATATATAGAATAGATAATAATTTAGGCCTAGATTAATCTAATAGATATAAAGGATAGTAAAGGTATAATTACAAACCTGAATAGAGAACCATTATATTTTATTAATCAAAATTCCAAAGGCACTGCCATTACAAATTTTGTATTTAACACCACAACTTAATTGCAGTTGACCAATTGGGTAGTGACAAATAAATTGTTTAAAACATAGGCTAGAATAAGTAGGCTACCATAACGAAATCGAAATACGTATTGTTTTCTTTTACGTGATGGCAGTTAAATTATGATCCAGAAACGAAATTCTAAATCAACAAAACCGTCCTCAGTTACGATGAAATCGTGAATATCTCTTGCGGTTGTGGTGAAATTGTGGACATTTTCCGTAATCGAGGAAGAGTTGTGATAATCTTTTGTGGTTGCGGAGACTTCATTATCGTTGTTAATGATGGATAGTAAAATTGATGAAATAAAAAAAGATAAAATTCAAGAGATGGTTTAATGGACATGATTTTAAAAGAACTTATAAAATGTAAACAAAAAGGTAAATAGAGTACTAACAATATAATAAAACATATGATTTGTGCACAAAAGGCAGGCAGAACATAGTAATCAGAGAGAACTTCTAACAATCGTCTACAGCGATCTTGCCGTAATTGTGATTTTTGATTTTAGCAATCTTGGTCATAGCGAGAATAAAGGCTTGTCTAAAAATTTTAACTCCTTAACAGTTGTTGGTGGAATTAATTTTTTAAGAGACAAAAATTTCCTTTCTTGTGACAAAACAGGATGCTGTTAAAATAAGATTTTCTGTGTTCGTTTATTTATATAAATGTTTGTGTGTTTTTTGTAAAGAAGCTGGTCTGTTGTGCTTGTTGTTGCAGATTTGTATTAATAATGAATCCTGTTGTATTGTAATGTTTAAAGGACAAAAATTATTTTTGTTCTTATGAATAAATCTAAATTAAAAAAAAAAACACTTTTTATGGATTCAAAATCCAACAATCTGGTTCTTCGTCAATATGCATGGCCATTGACTACAACGAATGCATAAAATAAATTATCTTAAAGGGAATTAATATCCTGCTAGTTTTGCAATGCAAAAAATATCTTAAGGCATATAGTTTACCTTTACGGGCGGTAACTTTTTGTTGTTGTAGCCTTTACTTCATTTTGCAGGTAACAACTTTGCGAATAGATAGGGAAACAGACGGGCGTCATGCTGAAGTGGAATTTACCAAAGACTGGAAACTAGATGCTAATAGAAGAGATCTCACAATAAACTCAATGTTTCTAGGCAAGTACCATTTTTAATTACAGTATTCACAATAATATTTGTCTTATAATCAGATCTTTTTTTGATCATAAGGTTTGTTGTATACTACATTTTAGTTAACATGAGTAGTTGATCAAAAACAAGTACCAACATTCATACTGTTTCATGGAACATTTGAAGAACTGATGTTGTGAAAGTTCTATTCTTGCACTCTAGCTATTTTGCTTGACAACTTTAAAATCCACTATCTTTATTCCCTTCATTGTTTTATTTATTTATTTATTTTTTTAATTAACTGGAAGAAAATTAAGGTCTTGTAATCTTGAAATTGACTAGCTGACAGATGTTGTAGGGCCATGAAAATCCTTAAGGGAATTTAAAAAAATCTTTTTATAGTGCTCACCTCCATTTAAGGAACCATTGTTTTAAATCAATGCCTACTGCAGCCTTGTGAGGACCTTATTCATTTGATTATTATGTATTTATTTTGAGTGTTATATTTCTGTTTAATTCGTGATCAAATGAGTAAAATTGTTGCAGAGGCCATGGTGTGAATCAAGCTTTCATAAAGAACAACTAGACTTGCATAATATGATGGTATGATGGTTTTAGGTTTGGATGGTACCTTGTATGACTACTTCCATGGCTATGATGACCTTATGAAAAGAAGGGTGGTGTTTGTTGGTGATGCTACGAAAAGAATCCAAGAAGACTATTTGAGAATTCTTAGATATTTCAGGTATGATTTTATTTATTTCTCCTGATTTTATAAACAACCCTGTTCTTTCAAGATTTAATTTAAAATTTTGAGTATTGCCCCACATTGTCCGATCAGTGTATGTTGTTAACAATTTACTGTTAGTGTCTTCAGAGTCATTTGCACACAGTTTGTCAAAAACTCACCTAATTACAGCTAAGTGTTAATAGGAAATATAGGTCTGTTTAAAAATTGTAATTTAAATTATTTAAAATAGGCTTTTATTTTGAGTGAATTTCCCGTATAGGGAATATTGGTGAATTCCCTATAGAGGAACTAAGCTATTACTTAAGGTCTCATGGTAAGTTCCAGCCCCCCATCCTTACTACTTTTTAATTTTGTGGTCCTCGTAGGCCAAAAACACCATTCGTTCAAATTCATGTTTATTATAAGAGTGGCATTTAAAAAAATTTAATGTACAGATTGCAATAAGCATTATATTGGCCAAACTAGTCGAAACTTGAATTGTAGATTCTGGAAACATATAGCCTATAGTCATTTTAGTCCAATCTAAAAATTCTACAGGCATGAATCTAACTACGCCGAACACCTATTGAAAACCAAACATAAATATCAAAATGTGATTTGGAAAGCGAATAGGGACCTCTTGTCGGAAATTTTTGATTTCGAGTTACATATATATTAGAATTCCTTATTAAATTCCGAATCGATTGGTGCAAGTTCCATGCATGTATGATTTTTTTTTAAGTTATAGGACTTTGAAATTTGGTTATGGAAAAGGGTCATTTTGAGAAAAACTGTTTTGAACATTTCAAATACGCATAAAAACGGTGTTTTTCGTATCTAAGAAACGGTTTTGGTATCAAAAGAAAGCTTATAATGTCCTCTTTAAAAGAAATGCAATTTCTTTTCTTAACTCACGGTAGTTTTCATTTAAATAATTGTTTTACTGAAGCATGTCGTAAAAATCGCATTTCAGAAAAGGGACCTCTTGTCGGCCCTATGTTATTTCGCCATAAGATAAGAAAAGGTACCTCTTGTCGGGACCACAAAATTTTTGAGATATTTTGTTCTTCGTGAACTGAACTTTGTTGTAGTTCTCTAAATTTCCACTAGAATGCAGGACAATTCATTTTTTGTCCTAAAATCTGTTTAAAAAGTGAATATTAGAAATGGGACCTCTTGTCGTTATGGCGAAATAACATTGAGCGACAAGAGGTTCCTTTTCTCAGAACGTGCAGAGAATAACAAAATGATTTATTTCGACCTGTTGCATCTTCAATTTGAGATTTTAACCGATACTGTCATGTTCTATGTTAAATGAGGTATAATAATCGATAAAAACCGGAAATTTAATATTTTGGGCCTTAACTTATATCGGCCGTACTGAAAATTTAGCATCTCCCACAAGAGGTCCCTTTTCGCTTTCCACATCACAAATATAGAACAAAATTTATCAGTAATTGAATTTGAACCAAACAAATAAAAATATTATTAGGCCTATAGAAGAATTTTACATAAAAATAAAAAAAATTCTTATATAGAAAATTAAAAGAAAAATATAATATCGAACAAGTCAAAATTTTAAAATCATGATATTTGAACTATTAATTATTTACATTTCTATTTAGTCTAGTTGCCAAAAGGCATTTTTCACCCAAACCTGAAAGTAAGGTCCACCCAATGTTTTTTAGTGTTTTCTGTTTCTTTAAGACGTACATAATTAAAATCTGCAGGGTGCCACTTTGTCACCCTTGCTTGAGCAAATTGAAATATTCAAAATGGCGGCCAAGATGGCTTAAAAACTATATTTGCTGTATCTTTCCCTATAGAAGAGACAGGATAATAATTTTTGTGTCTAATTTTATGTTTTAAGGGTCAGAGAATACCAATAATTGATTATCTTAGTAATAAAATATATATTTTTGCTTTAAAAGTTAATAGGATGTCATTGGTGAATTGAAAAATGCCTTGTTATTTAAATTACATTAAATAACATACAATTTTTGGAAATGATATACCACATGCATTTTTATGAACATTTTTGAACAAAATTGACTTGGTAGGTACCAATGCTGATATTTATTCGGTGGTTAGTACTTCATTTCGACATGTAACGCGTTTTTGGCTGCCATCTTGAATCGCCATATTGCATATAAATAAAATATTTTAAATATAGGCCTAATGATAGTGTTGTGACACATAATTTTAAACTATATTATATTTTCATGCTGATTTTAATTATGAAATCCGTTAATTTAATATCCTTTTTCATTTTGGAGGTATATTCAAACGAAATTCTACCCCATACATTTCTAATGAATGTTTCGTACTTTGAACAGTTAAAAAAATAATTTTTCTACATCTTTAGTTATTATTAACGCTTGCAGTTTGTTCTAGCCTTAAAATATTCATTGATGTAAGGGCTTTCATTTGAGCTATTGGCCATTAAAAACGGATGAGTTATAGACCAGCTACGAAGCACAATACAATATTAAATTGACCTTTTTAGAAATAATTTGTTATTAAAAGATTTATATCTCGGTTTGTTAATATGTCACCTAGTTGTTTCTGGTCTCAAACTACTCAGTAAATGTATGGCTTTAATTTCTATATTCACTAAATAAAATCTGGCAAATTTAAATTAAACTTGGCCTTTTGTTTAAAATTAAATAATTTTTATTTTGAAAATTGTTTTTAGTTAAAGAGGATAATCCCCAATTCTAAATAAGTAATCCATAGCTAAAATAAGTCAATACTTTGGCGAATCATTTAAGACTCTAAAGGATTTTTGGAGTTATTTATGATTGGGGGGGAAAGTAGGCCCATTTAACTATAGACAGTTTTCAAAATAAAAATAATTTAATTTTAAATAAAATTCCATGATTCAATTTAAATTTGTCAAATTTTGTTTAGTGGAGGATAAATTATGTATTTTTATTCAAAGTAATTTTTCATTTTTCAGAGTAATTTAATTTTATTCATATTGGGGATATATGTATTTAACTAAAGACAGTTTTCAAAATATAAATAATTTAATTTTAAATAAAGGTCCATGACTAATTTTGAATTTGTCCAATTTTATTCAGTGATTAATAAAAATTAAATTGATTAAAAACATTAAAATTTTTCCAATGTTGGGAAAAGCCACATGTTTAATAGTGATTTTAGGGGTTTTCTCGTAGACCAATTTTAAACAACTTTCAGTATGTCACACTGCACACCCAACAATAAAAGTCAAACCATAAAACGTTTCATTGAAATTTTATTTTAGAGGTCATATCCTGTATTTTTCTGACTACTAGTGTAATTGCCTATGATGAAAAATTGAATTTTGAGTATGTTTCAAAACCCCTACTTTTTCAGTGTTCCCATGCTCGGATTTTGTCAGGCTTTTTTTATACATTGCCCTATATGTATGAATGTATGACTCCAAAATATGTCTTAAATGTTCTCAAATCAATTTTTCCCACCTCAAAGTGTATTTTAATCGGACTAGATGTAGTGGTGCAGCACGGCTAGCGTTCCAAGTTGAAGACTAATAACAAATATATCCCATAATATATCTTCAAAGCAATACAGTAGAGTCCCGCAAACTCAAAACTCGATAACCCGGCAGTCTGGATAACTCGGCCATCACCTGGCTCAGAAAATTAGTGATATTTTGAGTCCGAGTTAATTATGGACTCAAGCCAGCTCAAGTAAAATCATTCACAACTCGTACCCAAGGATTTTTTGTACTATATCTGATGACTTAATACTGACTTGTAATATAAAATACCCCCGCCGCAGCAAACCTGCCGACTAAGCGAATTTCCATTTCTCTGAATGATTTTCAATTGAATCTATTTTAGGTTTAACGAGTACCTAGGTTTGCTGCCACAAGGAAACTAAAACTAATAAAGTGTGTTTTAGTAAAATATTAATAGCTTAGTATAAAATAAATAAATGTTCCCAGTTTGATCTAAATATATCCATAAACAAACAAACTACAACATTTTCAATATTCTCCATAAGAATAACATGGGAATTTTTAATTTAATTTAAGTTTATGTCGCCTTACACCTTTAAACCAAATTTCATCAAAATCAGACAAAAATTACTCAAGTTATCGCGTTCACGGACACATATATATATATAAATCTACCCACCTATAGCTACTTCCCTATAGGGAAATTTGCTAAAAGGAGGTTAAAAAGCTTAAAAATTGTATTGTCCTTATGTTTAACCCTAGTTCCCGATAACCTGGCATTTCACAAACTCGGCACCCTTCCAGTCCACATTACGCCGAGTTTGCGGGACTCTACTGTATACAAACTGATATGAGGTTGATAATTGTTCAAAATTTAGTGCAGATTCTTTTAAGAGCCACAAAATATGAATGTTCTTATCACCTGAGTTTGTATTTGCAAACATTTAAAGGTTTTATAAAAAAAAATTATTCAAAATTTGGTATTGTTTCTATTTAAAGCTGTCTCTTTTAAATAAATCAATATTTAAATGGTATAAAGTTATTATTATCTTAAAGTAAACTTGATGAGGAAGCTATTAAGACAAACCGCAGATTTTTAAGACGATTAGTTGTCAAATTTTGATGTTTTACTAAAAGCTTACATAAATCCAATATGGCGGAAGTTTTTTCCAAAATGGCGGCTTTCCGCCACTTGGATTTTTCTTGATTTTTAGTATAATATTCTTGACACCTTTGTTGACAAAATCCCATATATTTTGGAATATATGGGGAAGAAATATATTTTATTTCTTTTACCTTAAGTTTGATGTTGGTTTGATTGTTGGTTTGATTTTGACTAGCCTAAAGAACAGTGTTTTTTCTTAATTCAAGAAAACTATAATTTAAATTAAAAAGCAGTTGATAAAGTCATTCACAGTTCCTGAAGAAGGATAATGCACTGTCCACAGTACAGCACAAGCATTAATTAGGAGAACTGCTTGTAAGTTAACTGATTTGATGACTGTGTTCTGTTTGAATGTTGCACTAATCCTCAGAAACCATGGAGTTA